TGAATGAGGCTGGCTAAGTATTATATATATATATATGTATGTATGTATGTATGTATATATATGTATATCTAATATATAATCGAGACGGGTTGATAATGATAATAATAATAATAAGCACAGAGCCCAAACAGTTAGGAGTTGAAAGTTGAAATTTGGTACAGTTAGGGTACGTTACGAGAATGCACACTAAGAAGGGATTTTTCGAAATTCCTCCCCACAGGGGAGAGGGACAGGATTAAGGCTTAACACTTCCATCAACAATGGAAGTGTTAAGTAACAATGGAAGTTTTAAGTAACAATGGAATTAAGAGAAAGCAATGTGCAAGACACAGATGCAGTTTTTTTCGTTTTTGCAGGAAATTGAACATATTTTTAGACACATCTAAAAATTCTCTAATTAGTCTGGAAACAAGGGGACCCAATTCTTGCATTCTGTGAAATCGAACATATTTTTAGACCCATCTAAAAATTCTCTAATTAGTCTGGAAACAAGGGGACCCAATTCTTGCATTCTGTGAAAACGGGTAAGGTTGAGAGTAATGTAATAATCTTAATCTTAGTTATTGTTAATTTCCGAGCAATGCTGGGCCTACCTGCTAGTATATATATAAGATATACAAGTATAATAATTACATATATGCTTATTGAATACTTTTTTTATAAAAATGTTGATTTTGTGACCAAACTTTTATGATTATTGCAAATTTGTTTTTTAGGGGGGAGAAACTTGAGACTATATTTGAAAATTCACAAATAAGAAGTTTATATCTGACCTGATTATAAAATGAAATGTAAACAATTTTAATCTGTAATAAATCAAAAAAAAGATGCTGTAATAATAAATTATTTAAAGAGATCTTGTAAATAAGCTCTGTAAAGACAAATGAATGTATATATACAGTTTAACCCGATTATAACGACATTGGATGTAACGACAACCCTAATATAACGTCAAATTTTTATCGGTCCCACGATTTTACTATACTAGATAATGTTAAAAAACCCACTTGTAACGACATAAAACCCTGTTTTAACGTCATATTTGAAGCACACTCAAATTTACAAAATTAAATTACAAATTTTATTTATCAAAGAAAATACTACGTGTTCAGTCCTAGGGTCAGAGTCCGCTTCCTAGAACGATTGTGGGTGGTACTGTCACCACCTGATTCAGTGGGGTGAGATGCGCCACCCGTTTAAACGACGTGACAGTGGGTTAGTCTGCATAGCTCTCATACTCGTGTTGTAGTTTAGCATCAAATCAGATAAAATGGCTAGCTTAAAAAGGAAAGTGTTAACGTTAGACTGCAAAGTAGAAATAATTAAAGCAGTTGAAAGTGGAAGAAAAAAGGCAGATGTATGCAGAGACTTTGGTTTAGCAAATTCTACAGTGTGCACAATAATAAAAAACAGAGAGAAAATTTTGAAAAGTTTTCAAGATGGCAAGGGACAAGTGAAAAAAATTAAGTTATGTGAAAAAGCCAATATTGATGACGCTCTAATTAAGTGGTTTAACCAATGCAGAAGTTCCAACTTACCACTAAATGGACCAATACTAATGGAAAAAGCAGAAGAATTTGGACGACTACTAGGCGATACTAACTTTAAATGTTCTAATGGATGGCTAGACCGTTTTAAACAAAGACATAACATAAGTTTTGGGAAAGTGTGTGGAGAAGCAAAAAGTGTAAATTTACTGGACGTTGAAAACTGGTTAAGAGATGTGTGGCCTAAACTAAGGGGAGAATATGCAGATGAAGACATTTATAATGCAGATGAAACCGGGATATTTTACAAACTTTTACCGGATAAAACATTTAAATTTAAAAACGAAAAGTGTGTTGGTGGAAAACTTGCGAAAGATAGGATAACAGCTTTTGTTTGCGCTAATATGACTGGTACAGACAAAAGAAAACTTCTTGTAATAGGAAAATCAAAGAATCCAAGATGTTTTAAAAACATAAAAACACTACCAGTAAATTACAAAGCGAACAAAAAGTCATGGATGACGTCTGAGATTTTTGAAGAAGAAATTCGAAAATGGGATAAAGAACTTATTGGTAAACGAAAAAAAGTTTTACTCCTTGTCGATAATTGCCCAGCACATCCAATTTTAGAAAATTTAAAGAACATCAAACTTGTATTCCTTCCTCCGAATTGTACTAGCGTACTTCAACCAATGGATCAAGGAATTATAAGAAGCCTTAAATCTCACTTCAGAAAAATTCTTTTACAAAAAATTATAACAAATATGGAAGATAAAAATAAAATGGCAATTTCTTTATTAGATGCAGTTGATTTTTTGGAAAAATCTTGGTGTAAGGTTAGTTCGCTAATAATAGCAAACTGTTTTCACCATGCAAAATTGTGTAATAGTCAAACAGCTATTACATTTACGAAAGATGACAATGAGGACGATGACATTCCTTTATCGGAATTAATTAAAACACTTCAGAGTTCAGAAAACGGCGAATTTTTGTTAACTGCTGCTACTGAATATGAGTGTGTAGATGAAAATTTAATAACATCTCAATTTTATACAGATGCAGATATTATTGAGCAAATTAAATGTTCAGACGAAAAAAATGTGGATGATGATGATGATGATAATGATGATAATGAAGAAGATGAAATATCAAACAGAGAAACTACAGTGCCGTCAACTAAGGAAGCGAGTAATGCGATAAAATTATTGAAAATGTTTTACAGGTCTCGTAAAACTTCATCGGAAATAATGAACAAAATCTATGACTTAGAAAATGACATTGATAAACAATTTTTAGGTGAAAAATGCCTACAATCTAAAATAACTGACTTTTTTTAAGTGAATATTTTTATTGTTTCTTTTTAATTGATATACATTAATTTAACCTAAAAGTGAAAGATATTGGACTTCATGTCCATTGATAGATAAGCAAGAAACGAGAAAATTATCATCCAGGCGTTAATAACACCTGGATGATAATTTTCTCATTTCTTGCTTAATTTAACTTTTTGTTGCCTTTTGATTCGATATTATTCTCAAAACCGAAAGTGCCGCCATTATCGAAACTTGACAAATAAAAATTTCTTATAAAAAATAATTTTTGAAATTTTTAATTACATCGTTGTAAATTTAGACATAATAATGTAAATAAAGTTGATTTAAATATTTAGTTTGCACTTTTATACATACGATATTAAATTAGATGAATTTTATAATAGATTCTTAAACAGACTTGATACTTTTATGGGACTGAAATTACAACCCCGCAGATAACGACACTCGGTTATAACGTCAAAAAATTGCCGGTCCCATGGATGACGTTATAAGCAGGTTAAACTGTATATATATACATTCATTGTATATATATGTATGAATGTATATATATACATAAATTCATACATATATATACTGTACATCTATAAAACAGATCCTTGCTATCATTGATCATTATCATTATAGATTATTATTTATTCTGAAGGATAAGTAGTATTCTGTTGCCCTTAATGATAAATTAAATTTTTAAAATGGAAATATTGTATGAGATGTATTTGGTTCAAAAGCAAATGTATCAGATGATATTTAGTGATATTCAAAATGTAGTGCTGAGATTGTGGCATAGGATTCTATTTGTTTTGAAGCTAGGATATCATTCTTTATTTTTCATGATTTGCTTAGTATTTGTAAATGCATTGATGAAATACATATAGTTTTAATTTTCTTACAGCAGCATTCAAACATCATGTTCTTTTCAAGTGTTTGTATTGCTAAGATATTTGTGGAGTTTTTATTTGATATACTGACTTTCCTAGTTTATCAATAAATTGTAATAATATAGAAATAAATAGTTTTATTAATAATAGTTTTTTATTCTGTTCAGGGAGTTCCAAGTTCTGCATTAAGAGAAATATGTTTGCTGAAGGAGTTAAAACATAAGAATATTGTAAGGTAAAAATTTACTTTATCCAATATTATTTTATTTAACTATTAATTTAAAAAATCTATATTCTGTAAGTTTTTATAAGAAATATTATGTCACTACATAATATTTCTTATAAAAAAGTTAATTTTTAATGTATTAATAGAAATACAATGGAATCTGCTTATTATGATCACTTTGAGACTTGCAACTTTATAACAATAACAAGCTGATAACATTAAACAGAGGATAAAAAATTTACTTGTGATTAAACAAAATAAAATTAGAATTGTATTAATAAATCTAATTTTCTTTATTTTGATCTTTAAAGTCACACCTCATCCTATATGAGAGTAAATATGGTATATTCTTACTATAGACTGTAAAAGAAAAGGAAATTTTTCTTATTTGTCTTTTTCAAATTATTCTAATTATTCAATACAGTCGATCCCCCCTATAACATGGTAGATACGTTCCACTTTATAAGAATTTTGCATTGTAAGAATCCTTAAATACATGAGCTAATCACAGCCTGGTGCAGTTTATGGACTATGGCTGTTTGAAAGGTTTTCTTCCATAAAATTAATCGATTCTAGACTAATTTGACTCAACATTTCCAAAACACGTATAATTTTTTGGGAATAATCCGTATAAACTATGCTATAAACAAAAAATTGTAGGATTACTTACTGAGTGTGCACCATTCGACAACGCCATTGCTTAAGCTTGCTTTCGTCGCGGAACAGCGCACCAAACAGTGGGCGCATTTTCTGATTAGTTATTTTTCTGCAAAAAATTTGTTGAACTTTGGAGACATCGTTAATAGAAATAATTTTTATGGCCGTTGAATAAGAAATGTTTTTTCACAAGAAATGTATAAAATTACAGTACTGTATTAGACTTACAGTACCTAATTTATATACTGTACAGATGATAGTAAACTCAACTTACCCGCCTAAATTCTTTGTAGCGTGTAAGTAGTTCGGCTGCTCGTCCACTATTGGTCCAGATTCGACCAATCCTGTCACGACACGAGTCGGCAATGATGTTTTACCACATTTTAGGAATCTCTTTTAGCATCTTTATACGAATACGGTCACAATTTTTTCGCCACAATATACAAATCCACATTACAGTCGACCCCCCTATAAGATCATAGATACTTTCCATTCTTTAGGAATCCGATTTCTTATGAGTCCTTCCAATCACAGCCCGACACGTGTCAAGTTTACGGACTACGGCTGTTTGAAAGGTTTTCTTCCATAAAATTAATCGATTCTAGACTAATCCGACTCAACATTTCCAAAATACGTATATTATTTTTGGGAATAATCCGTATAAACTACACTATAAACAAAAAATTGTAGGATTACTTACCGAGTGTGTACCATTCGACATCACCATTGCTAAAGCTTGTTTTCGTCGCGGAACAGCTCAGCAAACAGCGGCCGATTTCTAATAACTTATTTTTCTGTGAAAACTTCGTTGAACTTTGGAGACATCATTAATATAAATAA